TTTTTTCAATGTATTTTTCATTAAAGTAATGTTCAACTAATTAGAATTACTCATTTTAGGATGAAAAATAGTTTAAGATGAGTAAAACATTAAGAAAATAAGAGTACACAAAAATATTCGGAAAATAATATTTCTTACTTAATAGACTTGGATCAAACTCAAATGTAAACAATGAAACTATTTCATGGAATTGCCCTTATCAAATAAATACTTTATAAAAAAAACTTTTTAAAAAACCACGTTTTTACCCGTGGACTAAAAAGTAGAAAATAACTTTTTTATTGGGTTCAAAGGATATTGGTTTGAAAAATTGAGATTGATTTGAAAGTTTTATACTAAAGTCATGACCATACATGAATTGCAAATTTGTTCACTTCGACCATATCGTATAGTTCTACATCTTAAAACGTGGGCGCATTCATTAATATTGTATATTTGGAGAGCTTAGATTTCATAAAATTATGATTTCATAATTAACATCACGACAAATATGATTTACAGAATTGAAGGCTATTGTGGTGTCAGCTGTATAGTGTATAGAGAGAAAAATTCCGGTAGCAATCTGAATAATTAAACAAAGTCCTAGTAGTGAGCCGAAATTTCATGTCAGCATAAGTATGTAAACTAGACTCATACCATAGAAAGTCTTCATCGATCAGCTGTGCTTCGCACAGCATAAGTTTGTAAACTAGACTCATACCATAGAAAGTCTTCATCGATCAGCTGTGCTTCGCACAGCATTAATTTGTAAACTAGAACAAAAGCATTGAAAGTCTTCATCGATCAGCTGTGCTTCGCACAGCATAAGTTTGTAATATAGACTCATACCATAGAAAGTCTTCATCGATTAGCTGTGCTTCGCACAGCATTAGTTTGTAAACTAGAATCAAACCATTGAAAGTCGTATAACGTATTTTTTGTGATTCAAACTTATAACGGCTTTTTGAAATTTAAAACTATTGAAAGTTGTACATATGTTATGTAAAAATAAGCTAAACCTTGAAGAGGAGAAAATTAAATGTAATTGTACTATAATTAAGCATTTTTGAGTTTCCAAAATGCTTGAATATTGTATTGTCACCGGAAAAATAAGTGCATGCAGAATTTCAGCTCGATTGGAGCAGTAGAAAGACAAGAAAGCAAGTTAAGAAAAACGTGGTAAAAAAAGTGCACAAATTTCAACATTTTTTCACACAAATTTTAAAATTTTCCGCACAAATTTCAACATTTGATCGAAAATGTCAAATATCTCTTACCATAGGCTGCATAACCCTCAAAAAGTTTTAATAACTGAAAATTTCCACAATTTCTGATCTTTTGAGCCCATTAGCAAATTTTGCAGTTAAGTGCCTTGCTGGTCGAATAGGTAAGGCGCTTGGCTCAAATTTGGGATGGTAACTCGAAGGTCGTCGGTTCGAATCCAGCCATTTCCAAATTTGTTCTTTTTCGGAAGTTTAGATACTTCGACTGCTTAATGTACGAGATCAAGCCATAATTGTGCATTTGGGCAACGTTGGATTAAGGAACGGGTCAGGAACTTGAAGTGTATCGGGAGAAATAGTAACGAGAGCTACAAGATTACTCACGAATAGAATATTGTTAGAACGGACCTGAAATGTATCACGTCACGCATACAGAAGATCGAAACGAGAGCCTTAGTTTATTTGAAACCTAGATTTGAAGATTAGAAGATTGATCCTACATAATATTAATTCATATGTATACAAATACAAAAGTCTAAAATGTGAATTATTACCGGACAGTATGTCGTCAATAAATGCAATAAAGTGCAATTTAAATGAAAAAAAAAAAAAGTCTCCATTGATCAGCTGTGCTATCGCACTGCATAAGTTTGTAAACTAGAATTTAACCATAGAAAGTCTCCATTGATCAGCTGTGTTATCGCACAGCATAAGTTTGTAAACTAGAATTTAACCATAGAAAGTATCCATTGATCAGCTGTGCTATCGCACAGCATAAGTTTGTAAACTAGTATTTAACCATAGAAAGTCTTCATCGATCAGATGTGCTTCGCACAGCATAAGTTTGTAAACTAGAATTTAACCATAGAAAGTCTTCATCGATCAGCTGTGCTTCGCACAGCATAAGTTTGTAAACTAGAACAAAACCATAGAAAGTCTTCATCGATCAGCTGTGCTATCGCACAACATAAGTTTGTAAACTAGAACAAAAGCATTGAAAGTCTTCATCGATCAGCTGTGCTTCGCACAGCATAAGTTTGTAAACTAGACTCATACCATAGAAAGTCTTCATCGATCAGCTGTGCTTCGCACAGCATAAGTTTGTAAACTAGACTCATACCATAGAAAGTCTTCATCGATCAGCTGTGCTTCGCACAGCATTAGTTTGTAAACTAGAACAAAAGCATTGAAAGTCTTCATCGATCAGCTGTGCTTCGCACAGCATAAGTTTGTAATATAGACTCATACCATAGAAAGTCTTCATCGATTAGCTGTGCTTCGCACAGCATTAGTTTGTAAACTAGAATCAAACCATTGAAAGTCGTATAACGTATTTTTTGTGATTCAAACTTATAACGGCTTTTTGAAATTTAAAATTATTGAAAGTTGTACATATGTTATGTAAAAATAAGCTAAACCTTGAAGAGGAGAAAATTAAATGTAATTGTACTATAATTAAGCATTTTTGAGTTTCCAAAATGCTTGAATATTGTATTGTCACCGGAAAAATAAGTGCATGCAGAATTTCAGCTCGATTGGAGCAGTAGAAGTGGTCGAAAAATTGATCGCAAGATTTGACCAAGACAAGCAGAAAGACAAGAAAGCAAGTTAAGAAAAACGTGGTAAAAAAAGTGCACAAATTTCAACATTTTTTCACACAAATTTTAAAATTTTCCGCACAAATTTCAACATTTGATCGAAAATGTCAAATATCTCTTACCATAGGCTGCATAACCCTCAAAAAGTTTTAATAACTGAAAATTTCCACAATTTCTGATCTTTTGAGCCCATTAGCAAATTTTTATAATCAACCATTAACAAGTTACTTGCAAATCAAATCTTCATGTGCAAAAACACACAAATTTCAACATGGTTTACCCTACCGCACGAAAATTTTGAAATTTTTTTGTTTGTAACGGACTCTGTTCTTTTTGCTAACATTGGGATCTTTTAATACCAATTTTGTTTCGTTTTTCACAAGTGAAAACGGTGTGAATATAATAAATCAATTTTCACAACAAAAGACTCTTCAATTTAAAAGGATTTGTCATTTAACCAACAATGTCTAAGGTTTTAATTCATGTTTTAAATTGATTAATTTTGAGACAGAAACACTTTTTTAACTTAATTAAAATGAAACAATTCCCTAAAACAGTGAAAAGTCTAGATATCTGCTAATTTTCTAACATTATGGACAATTATCTATGTAAAACTGTGTAAAACAGTTAAAAGAATAATCGGCCTGTTTCACTAAAGTGGATTATCCTCGATTTCGGATTATCCACTTCAGATTTTTGTAAATATCTTAAACTTTATAGGAGGTGTGGTATTTCTAATTTTCAATTTTCTAGGCAAATCTAGTAGATTAACTTCGATTTTTGCTATAATTCTAAAACCAAAGAAGGTATAAAAATTCTAAGCATATGTTAATTTAAGTAGCAAAGTACTCTAATTATATCACATATTAGACCAAAAAACTGAAGTAGATAATCCGAAATCGAGTATAATCCACTTTAGTGAAACAGGCCGAATAATTTAACGCAAAATTATAGCATAAATAATTTTTCAAAATTATTGCAACATGATAACTTTAATAAGGGCGATTCTACGAATGATTTTTTTTACAAATTTGTCTCCAAATCTATATTTCTCTTTATCAATTGCATTACTCCCCATGTTTCATGTATTTAATAGTAGATTTTACCGATATCTACATAATTTTCTCACCCAAACATATTAAAAATGGTTAATTAAAGAATTATTTACATTCTACGAAAAATTACTCTGTTTCACATGAATTTTTTCGCCCAAATTTCCAAAATGTTTTCATTAATATCTTTAAGGTGGTAAAATTTCCAGTAATACTAAGTATACAAAGTTATAGCTTAAAGTAAAAGCTTCAAAACGATGTCAAAATCATATTTGTGGAAGCCTTAATTAAGCTGCAATTTGGATTGTACGAAAAATTTCATAAGTGAAACAGAGTAATTTGGAGACAATTCCAAAAAAAACTACCAAATATTAAAATTAAAACCATGAATTTCTCAATCCATAGCTAAGTAATTTGAGTGCAGATGTAATCATAATTCACAGTTTAACCAATAGAAAAGAAAATGAGAATTAGATTTTTGAAAAACTATGCACAAGTGAAAATAAAATAATTAAAAAATTTCATGCAATTGACACGGATTATTTTCATGAAACCTTTTCGTAGAATTGCCCATAAACGAAAATCTCTGGAAAAACTTGATGGAAAATTCTAAAACCCTCAGTAATTACTCGTTTTTGTTGATAGATTAATATTAGAAAAGATTAAGTTTGCTACGAAACGTAAATAAGACAAAATCTTAGATTTTTCAAAGTGCATCTAAACGAACTGCGCACTTTGTTGTTGTAATTTTTGAAAACATTAATTTAATTAACTAAGCAAAGCATTTAGTCAGATACATTTATTATATTTATAATTTAAAAAAGTTTAAGTGCGTCTAAACGAACCTTATCTCTATTAGCATTTTATATCCTTTTTGTTTCGATCATACTCAGACTATTTTCAAAAACATATCGATTAATAAAACAAACCCGAGCTTTCTACGATGTCTGTTTAAAAAGTTTTTCTTGGGACAAACGAAACAGGTTCCAAAAATCGCTAAATATCCATCTTTGAAATTGCCCCTTAATAATAATAATAATAAGAGTTATTAATGATAAAAATAACGTTCAAGAAAATTTCAAAGTTCTTCATAAAGTTTACTAAAACACTTGCTAAAAACTTAAATAATTTATGTAAACATACTGACAATGTCTCAAGATGATGTCGATAAAAGAAAGCATAAATTTCGGGCGACAGCATTTATTGTTGGAGTCGCTGGTAATATTAAGAAATTGACATAAAATATTCATTTATCTTTAATAGGAATACTTATTATTTCAGGCATTTCAGCCCTCATAGGATTTTCAAGAACATTAGCAATTGCTAAAAAAAGCGACACTCAATATTTTGATAAAGGAATAGCTGCACATTCTATAGAAATGACTGAAACAGGCGCACAATTAGGTACCGAAGTAGTATTATTTTTTTTTTAAGATTCAACACACAATAAGTTTATTTATTTAAGCTCTTCGTGCACTAAAATGGGGAACTTTGTTAGCTACCATCGGAACTGGATCATTGTGTTTTGGAGTCTACAAGTTATCTGGAGCAAAAGATGTGAGATTAACTCATATTACTTTCAATTTTTATTTTTTTATTTTAGTTGCAGGATTTTAGAAACATTTGTGGAAGCATATTGCCCAGAATACCCAAAAATAAAGAGCCAAAGTCAAGAACAGAGTTTGAAAATTTGACAGACTTGATGTCGTATGCTTCACAATGGAAAAAATAACAGAATAATAAAATTTAAATTAAGCAATTATTGTTTTCTTAGAACTCTTTAGAACATAAGTACTAAAATTGAATATTGTTTTCTTTACCGCAAAACTATAAGAAATTCATTTGAAAAGTAAGTAATTATAAAACTAGAAAAGTTATACTAAATATTGAAAGCTATAAAGAAAGATTTTAAGTAATCACTGTCGATTTAGTTTAATTGTGTAGGATTTCTGCTTAAAATTATGTTCTTTATTAACCTTTTATAAATTTTTGTCTAGTCATTCAATGAATTTCATTTATTACAGTGTTCTTAACAAGATCAGAATATGATAGAGGTGTTAATACATATTCACCAGAAGGACGTTTACTTCAAGTAGAATATGCCATAGAAGCTATTAAGCTTGGAAGTACTGCAATTGGAATATGTACATCAGAAGGTAAAATCTCATTTTTGTAGTTATATATTTTGGTTTAAACATTCAAAAAAATATATTATTAGGTGTTGTTATGGTAGTCGAAAAGCGCATTACTTCTCCATTAATGGAACCAAATAAGGTTGAAAAAATATTTGAGGTCGATCGTCATATTGGTTGTGCTACATCAGGATTGATGGCTGATTCTAGAACACTTTTGGAACGTGCTAGAGTTGAAGCACAAAATCACTGGTTTGTTTACAACGAGCGAATGTATGTTGAATCTTGTGCAAGAGCAGTTTCAAATTTGGCTATTCAATTTGGAGATTCTGATGAAAGTGGCTCTGCAATGAGCCGACCCTTTGGTGTCGCAATTTTATTTGCAGGAATTGACAATGATACTCCTCAGTTATATCACATGGACCCTTCAGGAACCTTATTGAAGTATTGTGCAAAAGCTATTGGATCTGGAAGTGAAGGAGCTCAACAGCATTTGCAGGAAATTTATTCAAGTTCCTTAACTCTAAAAGAGGCCGTTTCAAAAGCACTGGAAACACTTAAACAAGTTATGGAAGAAAAGTTAAGTTCTACCAACGTCGAAGTCGTTACAATGACGCTCAAAGACTTATTTTATATGTATTCAAAGGAGGAAGTCGAAGCTGTTATCGCAGATTTATAAACTTTCCGATCTCGGTTTTTTATTTGTGGAAAAAAAAGAAGAGAAATCATCATTAATTCTGAAATAATAAGAGTTTCATATAAATAAACAAAAAAAATCTTTTCTTTAATTTCGAAAACTGTAAGATTTCATTTATAAACTCATAACGAGTGTTTTCAGCTGATAAGAATTAATTTTATTTCTGTCGTTTTCTTTGCGCTCGCTCATTGAGTTCTTTTCAAAATTTAAACGCAAATCTCTTAATCTATCCAATATACAATGTATATATTTTGGGTTTGTCTCAATACTTCAACAGTCGATGAGATTGAATTCCTCGATGTTTATGAAAAAGCTTTAACTGCTGGAGGAAACTAAATTTGATAAGAAAAAGGTTCTTGTTATAACTACATCAAATAAATTTGTGTCCATCTCCATTAAAAAGAGAATTAGGTCGATTCTCTGTAGGGTAAATTGCAAAAATTTTGACTTCAATTATGAATGAGAGATACAGATTAATAGCATGATTATTATTATTATTTTATTTTATCTTCATTTTCTTTCATTTTTAAGGAAAAAATCTCCTTAATCAGTACTTAAACTGACTTAAAAATTAACAAAGATAATCACGATATAAGATATAAAGACTGGATATATGTATGTATATATATATGGGCAAATCCACGAAAGAATTTTTCTACAAAAAACCACATCTTTTGCAAATTTCTCAAAAACGGCTTCATTAACTTTGTGCTTTAAAACTCAATATGATAGAAAAACTTAATTTTAATATCTTTTCAATAATTCAGCTTTCTATGTGCTTTAATTAATGAGTTATTTCAATTTGGAGAGCGTCTGATTGTTAACTCTACGAAAATTGAATTTTACACTTTTTCCATTTTCTAGTTAAATATGCATTTTACCGTCGAGAAAAGATAAACATTCGATTTTCGCTCGTCTTAGCTTTAATTATGTGTTCTTTCTATCTCAATAAAATGCTTAACAAATGAATCCAAAACGGTTTGAAAGAGAAAAATTCGTTAAAATTTGTCTCCAAGAAGAGAAGTTTCAAGCCCCGCGCACAAAAATGTGGAAAATTTTTCATTAAATTAATTAAAGTGTCCAAGTCGTTATTAGTTGAAAAAACCTTAGTAAGAGTGCCAAGGGTTGTGTTTTCCTCAAGGACAATGAGGAAAGCCAAAAGAAAGCAAGATTTGTCGCCAAAAATTGATTTGGACGAAAGTTCAATCAAATCTAATGAAAATTCCAAGAAGAGGAAGCAAACGCCTCAGAAAGAGGAATCATCGGTTCCAGTCACAACAACAACTTCAGTCAAGCCAATATTTGTGCAATGCAGTCTCAAGGATGTGAGAAAATTAATCTCACAATTGAAATTGCAGGTTATGCCTGCATATAAAATTTCATCATCAAATACAACTCAAGTAATTGTCAAGTCTATTGAGGATAAGGCCTCAATAATAAACCTTCTGCGGTCTCAAACTATTCAATTCCACACCTTCTCCGAGAAATCGGAGAAAACAAAGTCATTCGTTCTGAAAGGATTTTACGAAACACCAACGAATGAAGTACTAAGATTACTTCAAAAAGCGAAGATTTCAGCTGTCAAAGTGACAATTTTCGTCAAGAAGCCCGAGTTCACCTTTTATCTTGTGCATTTTCAAGATGAAAGTGTGAACATCAACGTGCTCAATCATAACCACCGTAACATCGACAACATCATCGTCAAGTGGGAGAACATCAAGAAGGGCAACAAAAGCCCAACGCAGTGCTTCAACTGCCAACGTTGGGGTCACTCATCTCAAAATTGTGGATATAAATTCCGATGCGTCAAGTGCACGGAAGTTCACGGACCAAATCAATGTCAACGATCCACTCGTGATGGAAATGCCAAGTGCATTAATTGCAATGGCGATCATGCTGCCAGTTATAGACTGTGCCCATCGTTCATTTCGTATTCCAAAAGAATCGAAAAATCAAGAGCCAAACCACAACTCAAAATGCTGCCACAGATATCAAGTCTTTTTGACAGTAACAATTTTCCATCGTTAAGCAAACGACATCAAGTTTCTGCTCATTCACATCCAGTGAATGCTGCAAGTAACTCATCAGCAACATTTAAAGAAGAGATTAATCAGCAACAACTGATCAATAATATCAGTTATGCAGAGAAACTCAACGAAGCAGTAAAGAATGAAAGCCTTTTCAAGAAATTCACAGAAGCTCAAGAACGTAAAAAGAGAATCCCCAACATTGAAGAAGCAATAAATCAGTTCTGCAGTTTCGTAGACGAAGTCGGAAAGATCCCAAAGGATGCACCTCACTGCATTTAAAATCATGGTGAAGTATGGCTTCATTGGCTGCCCACCAGCACCGAACAAGCCAGTTCAAAAATAATTTATTAACGTAGTTCATAAGCTTAAAAAAAAGCTTTTTTTTTTTTTTTCTCGCTCGGCAATTTTTTTAAACTTTTTATGCCGCATTTTCATGATATATGTAAATCTCATTCATCAAAATTAATAATTAATCAAGATATAGCTGAATTAAAGCCATATTCAGGCTGGTGTCAAAAATAAATTTAATATTTTAAGCCCTAAATTAGATCATTAAATTAGGTTAAATAATTCAGGAATTTATCAAGTTGAGAAGAATTCTTAGTCGATTTTCGCAGTACCGTTTATTCATGGATTTGCCCATATATAATTTGTGTCAATAAAATGTTTTCTTTAATTTCATATTACTGTGAAGGAATAATAAGCCAGAACTTTCGTTGATCATAAAGCATAATTATTTCTTTACAAATGATCTATTGAAATGTTACAACTCACCCAAATTAAGGAAAAAAGTTGAAAAATATGTTTGAAAATTTTGTATTTTTTCACGGATTAAGCCAAAAAAAAGTTTTTTACACGCTTTTTTATAACTCGAGGACACAAAAAAAGAAATTAAATATTTCATTAATTAATGACTTAAAGCATACAGAAAAGCAACCAATTTGTAGAATTTATTCTCTTCTATAACCCAGTAAAAGTTATTCAATGTGGATATCAATAGTTTTCTCTAATTTTCGATTCTCCGGATGATGAAAATTAAAAATTCCGATTTCTGTCATCGATTTATTATTAATATTGACTAAAGAATCCAAATATCTTAATTAATACAGCGATTAGATAACAAGATTAGTATTGTACATTTTAGATTTTTACATCGATAAGAATCATAAAATCAGTGTCTCTGATGGGAAAAATCATTAAAACTTCGATTTTTTGCTGAAAATTGTCCAAAAGTCATCCAAAAAATTGCCCATAAAAAGCGTGTAAAAAAGCGTATAATAATAATAATAAAAGTAAATTATTATTGATTGTTGTAAATCATTCTAAATTGAAAGAAATTACAAAATATTTATTCATGATGTAAGCATAAAATTATAAAAGCTCTATTTGAAAAATTCCACCGTTCTAGAGAATCGCCCATCTAACTTGTAAAAATTATTTTCCCATAAACTAGGGACCAATGTCTTCCCCTTTTCGATCAACGTGGAATGAAGCCTAATCATTAGGACTACATTATGTAGGAAAACCACTTTTTTAACTTGGTGCTTCAGGCTTACCGACTCAACCCTAATAGCTTGTATGTAAACAGTTGCAAACTTGATCTCAACGGAACAGACGTGTTTACAAATCGCTCCGCAAATTATTCAAATATATCAAGAGAAACAAAACAGAGTACCAGAGAAGAAAATCTCAGTTTGATTCTCAAAACATCAAAATGGTAGAATCACCAAAAACTACCAACAACGAAGAAAATCTTTCTCAAAATCAGCATGGACTTAATAGTTCTCAACAACAAGATTCAGCTTCAGTGACAATTCTGAATGGAGATGACAAATCTCAAACCAAAAAAACAAACAACAATGAAGAAGTTTCTCAATGAAGCGAGTAAAGCAGAAAAACGCCCTCGAGAAATAATAGTTCTCAGCGCTCCTTTGAAAAGAGTAGCAAACGAAATCAAACCAAAGGAAAGGAACAAACCACTGTTCGAACTCTCACCAATGAAGAAAGCTATGTCTTCTGGAAATCCGTTTCTATTTGGTTCACCAGAACAGGAGGCACAAAGATCGACAACTCCATCGTACTGGGGAGAAAACGTGTCCATCAAGTAGAACGGTGACCTACGAGTTGAGTGATGTACTATATATGGGTTTTTTGTGCTATTTTGTGAAAGCAGAAAAACAACCTCTTTGAATTTGTGAAGATTCCAGGTCCGAGATATGAGCATTTGAAAACGGAACTAGGTCCGATTTTTCACATTCTTACTTTTTCAACTTTATCTCAAGCAAGACTAAACGAAAATTGTTGAAACTTTGCCTGTTTTATGTGCAATAGACCCTTAATCAAATAAACTTACCAAAAATATTTTAGGTTCCATAGTTGTAAAGATATGGCGATTCTAAAATGTAACCTAGTGCTAAATTAGCTATTTTTTTATATTTTTTACTGTAAATCTGGTAAATCTTGATAAAGAGTGATCAAACTTGGCCAGTAATTTGTGCAAGTGTTCCTCAATCAAATAAATTTAACAAAAAAATTTTATGTCATATAGTTGTAAAGATATAGCCATTTTGCGTTCCAGCCTAGTGCAAAACTAGCTTTTCGTTCTTACATTTTCAACTGTAAATCCGGTAAATTTTGATAAAGAATGTTCAAACTTGGCCAGTAATTTGTGCAATTGACCCTTAATCAAATAAACTTAACAAAAATATTTTAGGTTCCATAGCTGTAAAGATATGGCAATTTTATGATTCAACCTAAAGCAAAATTAGCTACTATTTTACATTTTCAACTGTAAATCCGGTAAATTTTGATAAAGAGTGTTCAAACTTGGCCAGTAATTTGTGCAATTGACTTTTAATCAAATAAACTTAACAAAAATATTTTAGGTTCTATAGCTGTAAAGATATAGCCATTTTATGATTCAACCTAAGGCAAAATTAGCTACTATTTTAC